GGGTTGGTTCGAATTTTACAATTACCAAACCAAATCAATTGTGTCGGGTTATTAAATCTAAAGACCAAACCAAACCAATAAAACTCGGGTTTTTCACTCTCGGATTTTCTCGGGTATTTCGGGTTTTTTTTTCCGGTAAAATCTTCGTAGAACAAAACATATAACATATGCTCAAAATATTCTTTAATCCTAGTAAGATACAACTATATAAAGTATTTTCCAAGAAAATAATACAAAATATGAGATGTGTCATGGCATTATCCTAAAATATTCAACAATAAAGACAATAAAATTATGTAATATAAATATTGCTAATTAAAAAGCCATAATAAAAATAAACATAATCTAAAAGTACTAAGTCATGCTAAAATAATAGACTAATAAGTAGGTTTAATTACATGACTAAACGCTAAAGAAAAATAAAAATAGGTTATGCATTTTTATCTAAATTATTGCAAAACAAAAAATAGATATTCAATACATTCTCGTTCGTAATATGGAATTGAATATCTTTTGTTAGCATTAGTATTGATTTGATTTTGGTTTGGGCTTTTGTTAGCATTATTTTATTTACTAATATTGATGGCTATAAAATTTATTGGAACATTCAAAAGTCCTAAGTCCAACTTTGAAATAATACCTTCAAAGATAAAATTATGAATTTTTTAAAGAAATATTTATAAATTACATCACAATAAGTATTTATATATTAAATATATCTAAAATTTCTATATATGTAATATCGGGTTGGTTTGGTTTCAGTTTGACTTTCTTTAGTTAAAACCAAACCAAACTAATTATGGTCGGATTTTTTTTCCAACACCAAATCAAATCAAACCAAACCATAGTCGGATTTTTTTTCTCGGTTTAACTCGAATTATCGAATTGGTGCGGTTTGTCGGTTTCCTTTGTACACCCCTAATTATGCCTACTTTTGTAACACGTAATCCTAAACTATCTTCCAACTCCAAACACTAAAAAAAATCATGATTAAAGAAATCCCTTTTTGAACTCCTCAAATTATAATTATGTCCCATTAAATAAAACATGGTAACAATTTATGTACAAGAGACATATAATGTTTCAAACTTTCAATTGATTTAATAACACTTGGTTTATCCCCCCGCCCCCCCAAAAAAAAAGAAAGATAGTTAATATTCAGATTATTGTACGATTTATGGTAAGCAAATCTTTTTTTAGGAACCATATTCCACTTTTTCATTGCAAAAAGACTATATTCCTCAAATATTCCTGAGAAATTTATATTTTTAACTGTTCTCAAAAATAATAATATATATANTATACACATATAATATGCATATTTTATATATTTTTTGGCTAATAGATGCAAATAGTTTCGATCGACTGGTCAATTTTGTATTTTGTAGGTATTATCACTTTTAGCCCGCGCTAGAAACTATTTACACTTAGTAGCTGAAAAGTATATAAAATTTGTAAAACATACATAATGTATATATACACAAAAAATATATAAATTTTATACATTTTTCGGCTATTATTTTTACAACGGTTATATAGTGTCATTTTTCCAATAGGTATTTTTACATTCCTATACACTATATGAAACTATATTACCCTCCTACTCAAGTTTTACTATAATTACATTTTATATACCCAATTACCATTTATGTGCATTTTAAGGGAATTAATGATAATAATTAGTGTCATAAAATTACTCTAACATATCTGCCACTCCCCCACTTTTATCTCTCCACATCCCGCCCCCTCCCTACGTATCTTGCACGAGAGAGCAGCAATTCCACCATTGACAACCATTAAAAAGCTTTGAAGTTTTGAATTCAAATTTGTTTTTTCAAAAAATATTGTTTGTTTGGATTGGATGTTGTTGCAAAGAATTGAGAATTTTCTCTACGTCTCTCTCTATCTCTCAATCCCAAATTTCAGTAATGTAAAGCAAAGGAAAAGAGAGCAGCAACTCCACCATTGACAACCATTAAAAAACTTTGAAGCTTTGAATTCGAATTTGAATTTTCAAAATTCATTATTTGTTTGGATTGGGTGTTGTTGCAAATAATTGGGAATACGGTTTGGAGTTTATATCTCAATTTTGAGGGGTTTTGGTGAAGATTAGACTTGGTTTTGGTTGAATTTCAGATTGGAAGAAGAAGAAGAACATGACATACATTATACAACATAAATTGTAGTAAAATTGTATCTTGTTATTTATATATTTTTCTTTTATTTTTTTAATTATTGTATGAAAGTTGAATAACATTGTATAAGATTATATTTAAGTTATATGATATTGTAGTTGTATATAACTGAGTAGAAATAATGTATGAAAATTGTAGATAAGTTGTATAATATATAATTAGTTGTATGAAATTTATTTTTACCATGTATAAATCAGATATAAAATATACTAAAGACATATTGTATAAAATTTGTATTTAAGCTGTATGTTATTATAGTTGTATTTAACAGGGTAGAAATAATGTGTGAAAGTTATAGATGTATAATATATAATTAGTTGTATGAAATTTATTTTTACTATGTATAAATCAGATACATAATATACAAAAGACATATTGTATAAAATTTGCATTTAAGATTATGTTATGCCCATTTAAGATCATGTAATTGTGATTGCATGTGTAACTTTGATTCGATTCCTGGTCGTTTTCGCTATCAATAATTTCTTAATTTTGTGTTTTCTTTTTGTATTTATGCGTTTCCAATGTATGTAATATGTTTTTGATTCCCTTGTTTTCTCCTCCTTTTTCGGTGTGATTATAAGAATGTCTCTTTCATGGGTTCTTCTTTTTACGCAAACCGTTGATAGTTATAAACGATTTAATGGCCATCTTTATGTATGAATCTTGGAAGTTTATTCTGGTCTCTAATGAGATGCTCTGTTTTGTATGATATTGATTTCTATCATGTGCACTTTGACTTTAATTTCCTGATGGGTTTCTGTTTCTCTTTTGTGTAAATATTTTTGACTAAATTTTCTTATAGGAAAAATAAGGCTTTTGGCTAATTGACCAAAAGTTAAACAGATGATAATGTACATAACTAAGTCGTATAGGAAGATTACTGTATTTTAAGGCGGACAAAAAATATTGAAAGAGAAGAGGAGAAAAAAAAGGAAAAGGGTGTAACTAAATACCTTAATTGAAGGCACTAATAATGGATTGAGAGCCTTTTAAGGTGGAATGTATATATTTTGTAAATAAAACTTGTGTAGGTAAGGTGATTTACTAAACATGAATATTTAGGGTAATAAAGTTTCCAATAGTATAGGAATCAAAAAGGGGATTTTTTCATTCCTATACACTATTTGAAACTTTATTACCCTTAATGTTCATGTTTAGCTAATTACCCGGCATAAACAAGTTTTGTTTACAAAATATATACAATTCATCTTAAAAGACTCCCAAATTCATTATTTGTGCCTTTAATCAAAGGATTTCGTTACACCATTTTTTTCTCTCCTCTCTCCCCTTTCTCTCAAGATTTTTCATTATTTTAAACTATTTCACTCATAAAATACTCACATAGCTTAAAGTCAGAACGGGGAGTATTTTAAGCTATGTTGATCTAGTTCAGGTTCTATCAAAGCCGACTGGCCATATGTTGTTTTCCAACACTGAATTGTTGTAATTTTGAATTTTTGGTGTCGTGGAATACTTTTTGTAAGATCTCTGAATTTATCACTTTCCTCAACTAGTGCTATTTTATGTTAGCTACTTTGCATTGAAATATACGGCTAATACAAGAATAAATATGCAGTTTAATCAGACACAAAACCACGGATAAATCCTCTAAACTGTTAAAGTTGATTAGTTGCTGTCAATTGATTTGGGATTAAGTATATTCAATAAATAATTGATAAATTAGAATTTTGGCCATATATGTGTGCTGCATAGGTTAAAATCGTAAATGCGAGCAAGATGTTTTACATTTATTTGCTTCTTCTACATGGTCTAGCAGACAAATGGTTATCTACAACATATTTATAATTTTCACACATTATTTCTCTCAGTTAAATACAACTAAAATAACATACAACTTAAATATAAATTTTATACGATATGTCTTTTGTATCTAATTCATACATAGTAAAACAAATTTAATACAACTTATTTACAACTTATCTAATATTTTCATACAGTATTTCTACTCAATTATATACAATTACAAAATTATACAACTTAAATATAATTTTAATAGAATATTATTCAATTTTCATACAATAGTTAAACAAAACAAAACAAAATATATATATATATATATATATAAACAACAGAATACAATTTTTCTACAATTTCGTAAATATAATGTATATCATGTCGTCTTCTTCTTCTTCTTCTTCTTCTTCTTCTTCTCCGTCTTCGAGTTTCAATATGGAATTCAGCCAAAATCAAGTCTAATCTTCACCAAAACACCTTCAAAATTGAGATATAAACTCCAAACCATATACCCAATTATTTGCAACAACACCCAATCCAAACAAATAATGGCTTTTGAAAACCCAAATTCGAATTCAAAGTTTTAATGCTTTTTAATGGCTGTCAATAGTGAAATTGCTGTTCTCTTTTCCTTTGCTTTACATTACTGAAATTATGGATTGATAGATAGAAAGAGACGTAGAGAGAATCACAATTCTTTGCAACAACACCCAATTCAAACAAATAATATTTTTCGAAAACCCAAATCAAATGAAGGAATATCCGCTCCTTTGTCTTTTGTAGGGTTGTTCTTTGAAAATATCTTCTTCTTCATTTAAAATCAAGCTAATCAGAGACGTTAATGGAGGTAGGAATTTTGAATAATAGTAAAAATTTTGTCTGGTTTTTGAAGAAGATGAAATAGGCGTTAATGGAGGATTTTCTGAGATTTGTGAAGAGAAAATCGTTGGTGAGTGCAAGATATGTGNCTTGGTAGAGAAGGTAATATAGTTTGATGAAAAAATCCCCTTCCGATCCCATATTTATTAAAGCCCAAATAGGTCTTTAAAGCCCAAATAGCAAAGCTCATTCGTCTAGATTCTCCTTAATAGATCCCAATTCCGACAATTCTCCTTTAGATCAAACGACTTGCTGCTCTACTTTAACTCTTATCGCATCTCTTTCTCTCTTCAACTTGTAAGTTCCCTCTTCTTTTGTCTTTTCACTGTCTCGTTGTTGTTCCCGCAATTCCATTTTTGCCATTTTGTTTTGATTGTTTCCCTTAGTTTTGTTTAGATTATTTTTTTTTTGTTGTCAAGAAAGGCTTTGAAAATTTGATATTTGAAATCTAAGGATTTGAAATTTACCAATCTATACCCAACCTAAGCATCAGAATCATGCTTTAGGAGCTTAACTGGAGTAATTAATATCTCTAGTCATTAATCTGTACTGCTAAAGGAAGCCCTGGTAGCATTGAGATGTTTAGTAACCATCTTGATCCCTCTTAAGTCCTAATTCTTTGTTTATTATTCATAAATTTTGCCCCTTGAATTGCCGCATTTGTTTGTAGTATTGGTTTGAACTGTAATGGGACTAAGTTGGTCTTTGCATTTTCTTCAATGTCATGCTTTTTAGCCATAACATTTGTTGACCATCATTGTTTTTTTTTGAAGTTATTTGAACATTTTCTCAACAACATTGCTGTACTTTTGAGTCATATTTTGCTCTGGCTAAATGTAGAACAGGTAAAGATGGCTATATAACCTCCCAGTTCTACATGTGTATCAAATCTCTTGGTGCCACTTTCCTCTTTGCTAGTGCTGTGCCAAGCTGCGCTTGTTCTTGACTGTCTTCTCTTTCTTGGCAAGTTCAGTCTAAGGTAAGCTAAATATCTTTTGTGTTTTGCATTTTCTTTGTTCTCTTTTGGGTGTATATTGAGATATTGGAAGCTCAAAATTTTCAGAATTGTTTATTAGCATTGATGTGAAACATTGTTGCACATAATTTCTCTAGAAACAAGTTCCTGTATTCATGTAGGTATTCTAAAATATAAATTCCTTATGAGATTTAACTGGTATCGATTTTCAAAGCTTGATGCTATGTATTGGTCTGTTGCCTGCCACCGTTTACAGTAGTTATTGTTTCCTTCCCCTTTGCTGTGAGGGCTGATTGGGTTGGTCTGTTGATCTTTTGAGAGACACTAGTGAAGTTGATTTGCTGTGGATCTATGGTTAGGTATATTACATGCATTACTCATTTTGCCTACCTAACATAACCGTGTTGAATTGGTGAGACCTGGGAATGTGTATACTGTTTGGATCCTAAGTTGATGGTCCTACACTGTATACCTTTACTGGATAAACATAACTAGGTCTTTGTAATAATTAATATAGAACGATTCATGTCGTAATGGTTTGAATTGGAATACCATAATGGCCACATCCTATTTCCATTTTTTCCATAAAATGTTGAGATGTATTTGGTGAGAATAGTATGAGAAACATTAGCAATTGCTGGTGTAAAATATGAAAAATCAAAGGCTATTGCTTAGCTATAATTTTGTAAGTTGGTTGCTTATCAGTAGTAGACGGGAGTAGTTGGATAGCTTTAGTTCCATGGACCAAAGGTTGGAAATGAGATCGATGCTCTTGTATTTTTGTCTCTTAAATCAATAAAAAGCTTGTATATGAATCCAATGGTCCTTATTCAGAGGACATTTAATGGACCATGATCATAGAAGAATATTTCCCCAAGGCTGAGGGGTTATGTAAAGGCCACACAATCTCGTCTCGAACCTAATATTACCTAAAGGGTAAAGGACATACGAACATGAAAGCAGAATAATGAATCAAAGAAATTCTTATTATTCGTATTTGTGAGCACCTAGTTTTTGATCATACTTGAATTTTTTTTTAATCACTTTTTAGTATGTAAATATATTTTAAGTTTAATTTACATATTTTAGCTCTTATTTCACCTTTTATAGGTTTTACTTAAGAAAATTAAAAATCATAAAAAAAGAGTCATATTTTTAAAGTAGTACCTTTATTATTGCAAAGGAAAGAAAAGTTTCAAAAAATACTTTTTCTGTTTAGTTTAGTTCGATTCCTAAGTTAGAAATTTCAACAAATAGATATTGAGTAGTTATTATATTTATTTTATTATTTTCAATTTGGTGGAAGTAGTATTTTTATTTTTGTGTATTCATTATATCCATTAAAAGAAAAGAAAAGAAGAAAATCATTTGAAAACAAAAGAAAGAGGTAAATAGGGAAATCAGATAATTCTAAATCCTACCCTCTCACGTGGTCCCCTACCCCATTTTGTTTCTTGTTCTTTAAATTTTTGCAAAATGATTTATTCCAATTCATCATCACCCACATACCATATACACATGTACATACATATATTCATCCATAGCAAACATAACCAAAAAGATTCGGAATAGAAAGTATTTTCTCACACTCACCTGGTCATGTTTTGGCACGATTCTCACTCACCTTTCCTCCTATACCAACACACACTATAAAAATACACATACTCATTCACAAAGGGGGAAGTGAAAAAACAAAGCAATTGCTGCTCAAAAAGATCACCCCAAATACCATCTTCTTTCCTCTATCTCCAACCATGTAAGAGCTCCAAAAGACTATCCATTTTCACCTCAAATTCGGCCTCAAAACGCAGCTGAAAAGCTGCTAAAAACGCAGCAAAAAGGCACTTGAACCCAACGAAACTCGGCGGGAAAAAGCCAAACCCACCAAAATCAGCTCCAAAAACGCCGCCAAAACCCAGCTAAAACAGCCTCCAAAACACCTCAAAAACAACCATTGTGGCTACACTGAAAACCAAGTTAAAGACCCAGCGAAATAGCCGCCATTTTCACACTTTTTAACCATAAAAATAGCCACTAAACCACCCGAAGATGCGAAGAAAATAACAGCCCTTTTCGCACAAAAACAGCAGCTCCAAAGTTTGAGTTTCAGGCCAGCGTTGAGGTACCGATCGTTGGTTTCGTTTGTTGTTCGAGGTCTGTTCGGATCTTCTGGATCTGTTTTGGCTGTTCAATTTCTCTTTGATATAAAAGAAAGTGTTGCTTGCTAAAGGTCCATCTTTACTCTTCTTCATTACTATTTTATTTGGTGTTTGTAGTTTGACTAATATCGGCAACTCTCGATTATTTTTGGTAATTGTCTTTCTGTTAGCATGTTTTCTTAATTGAATTTCTCGTTTTCCTTGGTATTTGTTGGTATATTGCATTGAGTTATGCTGATTGGGGGACTAATTGCTAAACCTGTTTCACATTAGATGAATTGGGTGAGTAAAACTTCATTTTAATTGGACATTAACTAGAGTTAATTGAGTGGGCTTCGAATGTTGTTGGTAAGTTAGAGGAGTCAGCCGTGGGCCAAGGGATTTGGGTTTTCAATGATATGATCCAAAAAGACATAATTGTGACGAGCTCAAAATCATAAATCCAAGTAGTATTTCTTCCGCAATAAAATAATCTCCATAAACCCTTGGCCTCACAATAATCTCAAAGTAGAAAAATAATTCAAATGCGCTAGTTGCTTTAGGCGCGATTAATAAATAAATTATCATGATTATGTGGTACGGTTCCGTGGCATAGCTATGATACGTAAATCCAAAATTCAAGTGCGCGTTCACGCGACTTGACCTTACAACTTCAAATAATAAAATAAAGATGTAGCGAATTGCGGGTACGTTTCACGTGGTGTATAAAACAACAAGTGTATGACATCGTAACTTGTTTAAATAAATTCCATAATTGCGTAAAATATAAAGACAAAAGCGGAAAAAGGCTAAAATGCACATATGTTTAAAATATGTAATAATCATATAATTAAGTCGAGCGTAATTGTAAAGTGACCATGCTAAAACCACGAAATCTAGGAGTGTCTCACACCTCTTTCGGGTTAACAAAATTCCTTGCCCGATCTTCTGTGTTTTACAGACTTAAACAGAGTCAAATTTTCCTTGAATTGGGATTTTAAAATGAACCGGTGACTTGGGACACCTTAATAATTATTCCATATGGCGACTCTAAAAATAAAATATTTATTCTCATTTCAATAATTACTTTTTTTTCCTTCCCTTTTGAATAAGGGTATGGTAAAAAATCAGTCACATAGCTCACCTTTTCTTTGCCTGAAAACTCTTCATGTTTCCAAGCAAAGAGGGACATGCTGTGAGTACCTAATTTTTGAGCATATTTGGATTTTTCACAACTTTTTAGTATTTACATAGTTTTAGGTTTAATCTTTAGATCTTAACTTTTGTTTCACTTTTTATAGGTCTTACTTAAGAAAATTGAAAATGATAAAAGAGTCGCATTTTAGTATAAGTGAAAGAAAAGTTCCCAAAAATATAGTTTTATTTAGTTTAATGCAATTTTTAAGTTAGATGCTTTCAACAAATCAAATGTTGAGTATGTAGTAATTTTACTTTGTTATTTTTTATTTAATAGGAGTAGTATTTTTATTTTATTAACTAAAAAAAAAGAAAGAAAGGATAAAGGAAACTCAAGAGTCAATAAAACTTATCCCTATTTCTTATTTTGTTTTATTCAAAACTAACTCCCAGGCACTCTCACAATTTTGCATATATTTTTGCACTTTTTTACTCCTCACAAGACTCTCACGTGCACTCTTCTCTTGGGCCCTTCTAATATTTCTTATTTTTATTTTTATTCAAAACTAACTCCCTGGCACTCTCACAATCTTGCATATATTTTTGCACTTTTTTACTCCTTACAAGACTCTCACATGCACTCTTCTCTTGGGCCCTTCAAAACATTAGAGAACACATTATATAATTACACACCTCACCAAACAGATAGAGATAGAGAGCACGAAAAGGGGGCTGGGGTGGAAAATACGAGATCCGGAGAAAAGAGAGGGAGCAAAACAGATCTAAGAAAAAACAGAAGAAAAATCTTCTTCTTAGGGAGCAGCTGCATTTTTGGATCGATTTTCAAAATCTTCTTCTAATACTACAAAATGCCAACAAGAGTTAATTCCGTCCAATTCTCAAAATTGTTTTGGATTTCGGATTGCTCGATCCTGTGATGCAAGGTCGTCGTAGAGGTTATCATCGTCTGGTTCTGCTCGGTTCAAAGGTCCTCGTTTAATTTTAGTTCCGGTAAATCGTAGTTGCCGAATTTCTTTGTACATCGCGTTGACAGAAGTTCTTATAAAAAAATTCAGATTCAAAGGTCCATTTCGTTACTTAGCTTTATTTTGAATGTTTGGTTTGTTCACTCTTCATTACTATGTGCGATTGAGGGCATAATTTTAGTTTATTTGAGTTACTTGATTCGCTGTCTTTTCCTTTCTTTCTCGTTGATGTTTATCCCTTATTGAATTTAAAGTATGGCATCAGTTTTTTTAGTTTAATCATTTATTTAGTTTAGATCTGTGAAAGCTTGAGTATGTGTTCATGTCCCGGGAGCTCATTTGTGAAAGCTATGATAATATATATATATATATATATATATATATATATATAGAACTCCAAAGCTCTTTGGGATTCACTGTTTGCTTTAATTTAACAAGGGAATATAAGTCATCAAAGTAATTTGTATGTTCTCTTGGTTAGTAAAATAAGTTTGTTGATGTCTGATGAACCAAATGAAGGAAGGGATTTCAAGTAAGCTTTGCTCAATTAGGCTTGTGTTCGTATTCTTCTTTTCTTCTTTTTTCTTATTTTGTAAGCATATGGTCTTGATTTGATTATTATTAGACATTGAAAACTGCAACTAAAAAACACTGAAGAAATGATAGTTGCGTTAGTTTTGTGCCGTACAAGCATAATGTGAAAATGATAATTTTTGGGCCTTAGGTTATTCTTATCCTTTGTCATCTTATTTGGCCATTAACATTTGGCCTAAAACAAGGGAACTGCGCCCGTATAAAAAAAAACAAGTGAACTGGGCTACTTTTCTTTCGTAACAAATAGATATCGAATGCTAGTATGTATTTAGAGCGAATACACAAGTTGGCATGTTGTCAAATTATTAACAATCATAATACTTCTCTCACAATGCTTATCCATAATCAATGGCCTCACAAGTAATTTCAAATCTTAGGAATATGAACAACTTATGAATAATCGCAGTTTGCTTTAGGCGTGATTAATAAAATAAATTATCATGGCTATGGGTACAGTTCCCGTGGCATAGCTATGATATGTAACCCCAAATTCGAGTGCACGCTTGTGTGACTTGACCCCAACTTCAAAGTAATAATAAAATAAACTTGTTGTAAATCGCGGGTGTGTTCGATTTGCAATGTGTACAAAAATGACAAGTGTACGACATCGTAACTTGTTTGAATAAATTTCATAATTGCGTGAAATGCAAAATCAAAGGCGGTAAAGAATAAAATGCGCATATGTTTAAAATATGTAATAATCAGATAATCGAGCTAAGTGTAATTGTAAAACGACCATGCCAAAATCACGGAATCTGCGAGTGCCTCACACCTTCTCCCAGGTTAACAGAATTCTTTACCCTGTCTTCTGTGTTTCACAGACTTTAACAGAGTCAAATTTTCCTTGGATTGAGATTTTAAAATGAACCGGTGACTTGGAATTGCTTAATAATTCTTCCAAGTGGCGACTCTAATAATAAAATAATTAATCCCATTTCAATAATGTCACTTAAAGTGGAAAAGCTCCTTCCCTCGGAAAAAGGAAATGTGACAGTATTGCATTAGACTGTCTATATCCATGATGAGAATGACGTATGAAGGAAAAGAAGAGGAAGAAATCCAGAGAAAAAACAGAATTTTGAGTATTAGTTCACACTAGTATTTTTGTGCTTGGTTAATAATTTGCTCATATGATGGATGAAAGTAAAGGAAATATTCTGTGAAAAATAAAGAAATTTGTGTTTTTATTTCAAGCTAATATTATTATTCTTGAATCAGAGGTTTCTTAATCCGAATCATTTCTTAATCCGAATCTCTAGGCCTTTCGTAACCAACAAAGAATTGTGTGTGTGTGTGTNTGATGAAGATTGGGAATTTTGGAGGGAAACTACTAGCTTTAATCTACAAGGCCTGTATGACACATGTCAAACAAAAAACAAAAAAAACTCCAATTGACTGGATTATAGGCTTTCCCAAAATTTCCAATTTGCAAAAGATATTCCTTTCTCTTGTCTAATGGTGCAAGTAAGGCATTCATTAGCTTCCGGAGAAGCAATATCAGCCTGCAATGGAAGATTTTGTTCTGTTCGGCAAAAAATTATTTTATGAACTCCCTTTTTTCCACAATTCAGGTGCTTTTTAATTGAATTATTGTTTTATTTCACAGGTTTCTGGCAATATGTCGGGAGTCGTGAATAAGTTCTTTATAACATCTTTGGTTATGTGGGCAGCTCCTGTTGCAATCTTGTATGCCTTCAACCACAACTTTGTTCCTGGTAAGCTTTCCCTAATTTCCAATACAAAATTTTACTTTATAAAAGAAGATTTCAATGATTTTAGGCTATTATACACGCCAGAAGTTGATGACGATCCTAAATTAGGCATTGATTGGTCTTAGATAACTGAAGTGTTTACTTCTAGTTAACTCATTATTCATAACCTACGCGAGGATGCCTTGTTTTTCTCACTTTTATGCCTGAGAACATTGCCTACTTTTTTTCTGCTTTTGCAATTGATCACAGTTGTATTTAGGCGGTATTCACATTCAGTTAGTGGAGTATAAGGAAAAGTGTGGCAGATTTGTGCCCATTAATTGCTCAACTATGTGCTTCCCTGTAGTCTTTGCTGCTTGAAATTTTAATTGCCTCACCCATCTGAGTCAATGTATTCTCAGGGACCGAAGTCCCTCTTCATGCTTTTATCCGAGTTCTTGGGACAATTATTATGTTTTGGCCTCAGAACATGTTCTGTCTTTTGAACTAATGGAATATTGGAGAGGGCGACAGTAGTAGTCATCTTTCAGTGCCGACTGCTATGTGATTATATTGATGTCGAGCTCTGCTTGAGAATGGGAGAGGTTGGTCATGGTTAAATAGGGAAATTGTGAAGATAATTTTAATTACTATATTTTTACCCCTTTTCAAATATTCAAATGAGAAAAGATGACTTCTTGTTTTGTTGGCTGGGGGGGGGGGGGGGGTGTAGGTTTGGTAGGAGTGCACTCTCAAATGTGCCCCTTGCTTATTTAGTCTTAAATTAAATCGCACGCCAGAATTTTTTTCTCAAAAGTATTAATTGACCAGAAGTCAGAACTTGGATAGAGTGGAAGATGATGAACTATAGCAGGTACTTATGACGGATTTGTGACCAGTTCGCCTCCTGGTGCAGCCATGTGTAGCTGTGCTGAGTTTCTAGGACACTTATCTGGTTGATTGCCCAACCAATACTTGCTGATTCCTTTTCTATCCATTGATATTTGTACATATCAAAAAAGAATAAATAAACGCATGGTACATTAGCTTGCAATTTGACGAGTAGGAAAAGGCAAGTGTAATATCCATGCTTTGTCGACCAGAGAACCTTTCACCGTTTGGAGTACTTTTGGATAATACTAATTAAAAGTTACTGGAAATTTCGTTGCAATTATTCTGAAGTGAAGTTCTGAATTTGGATGGGTTTTGTAAAATTTTTGCTGCTGGAATAAGGGAACCACAATAACATATTGATATCTTAGATTATTAAGTTGAAGATATGAGCGTTTAGATGGCTCAGCTCCATCTCCTGTTAATTCCCAATTTCTGCAGAATATCTGATCTTCCATAAGTAATTACTTTTTCATAATCTTTTCCTTGTTGGTGCCCCTCCTGTGATAGTTTTCTCATCTGCATGTGCAGGGATAGCAGGCTTGAACTTGCTTTTTCAAACCTTTGAGATTGTCTATTCTATTACAGATTTTTAAAGCCTTCTGTGAAATAGCCTATTCACTTTAACATGTTCGTTATATTTGAATAATTAGAAGAGAGTACTTAGTAGCATTGATGGAGGACAATTTTAGGGCTTTCGTTGCCTTCGGATCGACATAAAATAAGAGCAAGTTATATTGTTCATCATGAGTACATCAAACTAAGAACATGAAGAAAATTATAGGCTTTAGTGTTGAACATTTCATGGAGAAATTCCCTGATGGGGATCCTGTTCAGCATCTTATTGAAGAGCTCTTATTCCGTGCAGCCAAGAAAGCTGGTATATTTTCTGTCTAGTCTTTCTGTGTAGAGTTAAGGTTACTAAGTTACTGTTTCTGTGATTCTTTACGTTTTCTAGTGGCTGCACGCCCTTAATTTTTGCTAGGAAATTACATTTAAATTTTCAGATTTTTTTTTTAAATTTTCAGACTCCCAATCATCTTCCCTTTTTTCTCCAATTTAGACCAACTCTATTAGATGGGTACACTAAATTGGACCCACTCCGATTCTGTGACACATTGACATACAATTGCTTATTCTGGATTTATGACCAGATTATCTACCATGACTTAGTTTGTTTACGTCTGCTTCTCTTTAACTGATGGACAAAGATACGTCTTGAAGTTTGAGAAACATCTTTGTCATTTACTCGTTTATGCTGCTGAACTAGCTCTAACATTTGGTAACTATAAAAAGCTTATGTCAAGAATATTGCTTTGCACTATTCAGCTAGAATTGTAAACCCCTGAAAAGTACATTATATTCTAATTGAATCGTACTAGTCCTCAGTCCTCACCTTTTGACTTGGGTATGTGGAATGTGGAAGTCTATTCTTTTGGGGAAGAAACGTTAGTAAAAGACTACACTAAATTGGTAATATGACTCACCCCTTCCATGGGTGAAAAAGTCCAAGCTCATCCATCAACCAAATATTGCAGCGAAGTATTTTCCTTTATGCAGGTGTCCATGCAAAACCTTGGTAAATGTCTCCTTATCTAGTAATTGAGTTTTTGCACCTATGTATTTCTCTGACACCTAGTTCTTTGGATCACTTGGTGGATCGGGTGTATCAATGAAGTGTAGAAATTGATAGATCAGATAACATTGTCAAGATCTTGATAACCCTCTTCCTAAAGAGGGCAAGACATGACATGGATGATTTATTTCATAGCATAGCTCTTCAGGGATCTCAAGATCAGCTGTCGATCTTCGTTTTCTAGAAGATGTGGCATGAGATCCACAACTGATCTGCTGAATAACTAGAAGCTGATGAATCGTCAAGCTGTTTTTTTCTCTTAAATGCTGAAGTTTAACATCAATTTAACTATGTCTTGATCCCAAACTAGGGGATTGGGTCCCTCGTATGAATTCTGGGCATCCTTAAATTAAAGAAAGTCCTTTTAAACAACTCCAGATGATGTCATTGTTTCGTGTTCCTAGATCTTTGTTATTCCATGTTGTGTCATTCTTACCAGTATTGTTAGCATTATTCTTGCATTTCTTATTTCTGGATCTTTGTTATTACACGGATGACTTTGTTTTTTCTTGTTGTTGTTATGGTTGGTTGCTTCCTCCTGTTTACTATTTCTTAAGCCGAGGGTCTTTCGGAAACAGCCTCTCTACCTTTACAAGGTAGGGGTAAGGTCTACGTACGCACTACCCTCCCCAGACCCCACTTGTGGGATTACACTGGGTTGTTGTTGTTGTGTATCCTCATAGTCTAGTTAATTTGTTGAGTATTGTCTGGATTTCGCAATCAATTCTCATTGGCAGCATAGGAGGTAAGGCATGCCACTTACTTGTGACTGAAACCTGTAGAGTCAATGACAGAATTTGTATTTATCTTTACTAACCACAACAATAACTCAAGTCTATGTTTTATTTTTGGGTTAACTATGCAGACCTTTAAGGTTTCTCTATATAATATTTGCCTCTTGTATGGTTTTGCATGTCACTAACCTTACTGTTTTCCATAGCTCTGGACCTTAGTTGCGGGTTATTGTTATTGCATGTCATCTATTTTATGGTTTTTAGGATGCTGTCATTATTTCTATGGTTATGTTGACGTTACTGATGAATTGTCTTTTCTTGTTTTCTTGTTTTATTTCCATCTCCCTGAGCCGAGGGTCTATGGGAAACAGCCTCTCTGCCCTATCGGGGTAGGGGTAAGGTCTGCGTACACACTACCCTCCCCAGACCCCACTTAGTGGGACTTTACTTGGTCGTTGTTGTTGTATGGTTTTGCATGTCACACAAATAACTCTGATGTCATGTTTAAGAACCAAGTAATTTTTCCTATCCGAATGACCAACTGACCTTTTTGGGTTATACTCTTTTGAAAAATGTAAAGAATAAGCACCGGGCATAGAAGTGGCCTTTAACCGCAGGTGTTGGACAGTCATAAAGCGACCTGTGAATGCAATCCATAATTTTCACCTAGATGGCAGATTTGCAAAACGCTTTAATGTCGCATGTATTGCTCTGGAGAGATAGAGAGAAACCTTTTTGAGTCCTGAAATCGTGTCATCTGATATCACAACTACATTTACTGCTAAGGTCATATTCCCCCGATATGTAGATCCAAGTGCTGGAGACTATGTTCTTTTATCATTCTTCTTGCTTTTATTGGCGTTAAGATCAATATCTTTTATATGACCATTTTAAATTAAAGTGCTTATATCTTCATAAGATATCATGCTACTATGCTTTTCTGGGCCGAACTTTCTTTTCCCTTGTAGTCAGGGGGATTATGATTCTATACTAACCATTGTCCATCTGGAGCAGGTGTAACTGACATGTCTCCTCATTCTATGACATTACTGAGCGGATTTGTTGCCGTCATATCAGTCAATGTTGTTATTGCATTTTACATATGCTTGGCAATGCGAGAACCCTCAGATAAACATGAACCTGATCCTAAATTCCTGGCAGAGGCCAAAGCTAGCGTAAAGCAGTTAGGGCAAAACCAAGATGGTGGTTCATCAGAAACCCGCTCTAAACAAGAGTGAACGAAAAGTAAAGAAGACGTGAAGTTTCTTGAATGCATTGGGCGTGCATGCAGGTGCCAAAATTTGAAAAGAAGACAACAAAAAAGTTGTGAAATCACACGATGAGTGCTTTAAGTTTCTTCGTGGTATTGAATTATCGTTCTAATTTTGAGGGAAAAGAGGGCAAAATCATTATAATTTTCGACTTGGTTGTAATATTTTAAAGCCTGCGATCGTTGTGTGGAGGACTTTGTTTCCAGTTTAACTTGGTTATATTGGTTGGTGCATGGTACGCCACACATTTTGCTTATAGTTTGGCGTGTACTTTCATCTTCATTCCACTTCTTGGTTCATATATTTATTTTGTATCTGGCTCATGAGTATCATTCACGATCAGTATAGATAATCATTTGACCTCTCCTATCATTTGAATTTGGTGTATTGGAAATATCCTCTATACTTTCACGAGGTAGGGATAAGGTCTGGGTAAGCACTGTCCTTTCGAGACCCTACTTTTGGGATTTTATTCGCTTTTGTTGTAGTTGTTACCTCTCCTATCATTTGAATATGTACGTTTTTTGATTTTTTTGCTGTTTTCCTTAAATTCTACTTATTTAGAAGGGGGAGTTGAGGTGCTCTTCGTCGTCCTACTTCGGGCTTAATTTTGGAAATATCCACCCCTTCGGGGTTATTTTCGGAAATTTGCCCTCTAAGTGGCGTAAAGTTGTTCTCGTGTACATCCCTTTTGTTCAACACGTAAGCGCCAGCACGGTCTTCAGTTTCTCATCTCACCCCGTGCGCTCTCTCTCTCTCTCCCCGTCGAGGTTGGCTAATGGGGCTATTCAACTATTATTGTCGATTTTGACGGTAATTTTTTTTTTTTTTTTTTTTTTTTTTTTTTTTTTTTTTTTTTTTTTTTTTTTTTTTTTTTTTTTTTTTTTTTTTTTTTTTTTTTTTTTTTTTTTTTTTTTTTTTTTTTTTTTTTAACTTTCACCGAAGAAAACTTGTAGAGATTATCTTTTTAGCTTTCAGATGCCCTTGTTTTGTTTTTTTGGGTTTTAAAAAAGGTCTGCTAGAGACTAAGGTAAGGTGTTTTTGGGTGTACTTATGTCTTTTGCTTGTTGAATAGCGAGCAAATGCAACTGAAAATCCAGAAGTCACTCCAGTATCTTTGCAATCGAGTACGTGGGTGCCACTATTGCCATCTTATGTTAGAACATGGAGAACTCATTCATGTCACTTCTTTTTATTCTAAAATCACGCCGAGTCAGTGTTGTCTGATATACATTTGAGTCATAATTCATCTGCTTCCTTAAGATGTTATAAGAAAACAATGTAGAAAACTACTACTATTTCTATTTATTCAGGGAGTTTTGCAACATTTAGAATAGTATTTTCATTTGTTCAATTGAATATGTGAAAAAATTGAATGTATGAAACATACCTTCATCTTATGCAGAGAGAAGCTGAAAGTTAAAACTTGTCTTCTAACTCAATCCACACTTGCATTCTAAGTTGACTCCTTTAATCATCTCCAAAAAAGAGGGATAATAATCATCTAGCGAGAATTCCACCAACATTGACTCACTCAGTGATTGGTTTGTTAAGCCCTCAAAATTGAAGAGCTAAGAATGACACACTTTTTTGTTATGTTGGTTTGTAAGTTAAATTTGTGAGGCTACTGGTTTTTTTTACGTCAGTTATGGTCAGTTTTAAGGTGAATGTGTGTACTAACGAACTCTGTTTATTCTACACAGTTGGAAAAAGCACACGACACTTGGAATAAGAGCTCAAAGTGAATGCACCTTTTAGCAGATGTTTCGCTGAGCTTATAAGCTAGTCAAATTGGCTTATAAACATATTTTGGCTTATCTGCGCATTTGGTAAACACCCAAACTGTTTATAAGCTAAAATCAGCCATAAGTAATAAGTTGGTGACCCCCAACTTATGATTTTTCAACTTATAAGCACTTTTAGTTTGACCAATACTTTTACTAGTTTATCCTTAATAATATTTTCTAGTTCACAAAATACTTTTTCCAAAATAAATTTTTTGACTTTCTCTTCATTCCATACTCGTTAATTTTTTTCTTCACAAAGAAATTTTTTAATTTATAATCTTTTGAAAAAATTTCAAGGGTATTTAGCCATTTTAGCAAAAGAATAGCTTATCAATACTTTTTTTTTACTAAACACATCAACTGCTTATTATCAGTTTCAGCACTTCTAGGCAAACACGTAAATGCTTATTTTAAAAATCAGTTTCAACACTTAAAAATGCTTTTCAACACTTCAAGCTTATCAACTACTTACAATCAGCTAATCCAAATGAGCTCTTAATCACAAAACAAGGTATGTTTTATATGTTACACAAAAACATTTGGTGAATAAATTCAAATAAAGTAAATTTTAGAAATTCTTAATCATTGTTTTAAGTTGCTCCACCATATTTTAGTTACTGATGTTTCATTCAGATGCTAACTCATATCTTTTGATACCAATTCAGGATCTCAACAAACTCTAACCTAAGATCAACAAACATGTTAATATGAGAATTCCTCTTCAGTTCGCTAAACGTTAGAATATATAAAAAGAAGCTCGCTTCACGAAAGATATTATCTTTGTGATGCTATTTTAGGTACTGGTTTAAACATGACTTGTATTCAGGGCAGGCAAGAATTTGTAACCCCTAAATTATTAGTGTGCTTTTGCAGACTTTGGACTAATTGCTATATCGCTGCAAAAAAGCCGGTGTCTTTGTGCTATGGGCTATGTGAATGTAGCCTATGTGAATGTTTATTGCTCTAGGTGCATGTCAGCCAGAGGCATTTGAGCACGACGGGAGCATCACTGTATGTTAATTACTATCGATAAAATTAGACGTACAACTCTTTGAATACTTAATGATTATGATGCCTTATTATCCAAGTATAAATATAAAGTTCTAAAGAAAGAGAAAGTACCGAACATAGAGATATTTCTTCTCAAAATGGGTACTACGAAAAGAGAAGGTGTTTGGTTTAAGCATGTTTCAAACTTTAAAGTTTCTAATTTTTTTCTCAAATAAAAAAGGGCCAGTAATCAAAGGGGTATTCAAACTTCAAAAATAATAAAAACATAATGAAGAAATCATGATTAAGGGTGTGCTAATAGTCAAAGAACTGAAGAAAAATCTTTAACACTAATTGCCATTACCGAGTCGAAGTTGACAGATATATGCTACTTTATCAAAGTGATTGTTGAAGAAGGTTGTGAGAAAGATTTGTATTTTTTTATTTGAGGAGCAATAAGTTGCAACTTGAGGCTTTTAAAAGGGAGGGATTTAGAAAAAAATAAAATTAATTAAGTTGACTATTATAGGAGGAATTTAAAAAAGAATAAAATTAAATTCAAAGATAAAAGTAAAAAAGCGTAAAATAGAAATTATGTGAAACGTTGGACGAGGATTTCGAACACAAGTCACCAAAACAAAGGAGCAATTTTAAGAGACCCATACAACCAGTTCTCCCATACAGATTTTCTGTCTTGGGGGCAGAAATAAAATATTTAAGGTCCCAGCAATATGTACAGTGTTATACAAGATATATATACCGCGTTTTTACCGAGGTTAACGGGTCCGTGACCCCTCAAACCACAGTGTAGGTCCGCCTCTGATGTCAGCAATGTGATCTCCCTGCAATTTCCGTAGCTCAAGCTTTGGCAAGTTTGGTTGTGAAATTCTAAATGAAGTGTTGGCTTATGTAGCCAAATAAGTGCAACAATTTTCTTTAATGATGTATAGTACTTTTGTAAACTTAGCCATTTTAGCTTTACAATAAGCTCGAGAGAAGAAGATCATGAAATGGGTGAAGATCGAATGTCTCTATATATAGCTGCAGTCGATGTTTCCTTCTTTCAATTTGTACCTTACAAATTCTAATTATTTATTTTCTTCTGCTCCATTATTTATTCACCAAGGAGACCTCTCTATAACAGCATCCTTATATAACAGTAATTCACTATAAATGCCAAGCATTTTCGGAACCAATTTTTATGTTATGTTATAATATATTTGTTTACCTCGAAAATACGAGTAACAATTAAATTTAACATGTGGTTTTAAAGATACGTGATTTAGTTCAATACTAATTAATAATCAAGAAATCTGAAGTATAGATGAAAGAAATAAGCAAGACCAAACCAATAGATAAGCCAGCTTCAACCTCGAGCCCAAGTGACCTCGAGATTGGTCAAGAATAATAAAGCTAAAGGACAATTCTGATGAACAATGAGCAAGAAAAGTAAGAGAGTATATTCTTTACCAATGATTAGATGATCTTTACAAATGATTGGGGTCCCCTTTATATAATAGGGGAACCCTAAATAAGGTACATTTCTATTTACACTAACAAATCTTATTGGGACAGCTGAAACCTAAAAATGTGAAAAAGATCTATTTATACATAGCTGAAATTACTGGACAAAAATACCTCTACGAAGTTTGCGCTGTCAGTGAAATAATGGGCGCCTCAGCACATTGACTTTCGTGGCCACGCAAAAGCAGGCGCGGACCACGTTTCTTCTCTTTTGTGCTTGGTCTAGACTTGATTTCACGGGGAGCGTAAAAAGTACCGCCTTAGCATTAGTATCAATCGCGCCCACGCAATTTGGATGTGGATCGTACTCCTCAATTAGGCTTGGTTTGCAGGGTCTCTGAACTTTAATCGACGCTCTCAGCGGAATTTGCACCGCGGCCGCGTCAGGTATTCCATTGCCGCGCTATTTCACTGCGGTCAGCGGTATCTGATGTACCAAAAATACCTTCTCTGAATCTCAATTTCGCGGACAACGTAATTGTGGCCGCTCTAGCGGTGGACCTTCCGCGGCCGCTCTTTTTCTTCACGAAGCGCTTTTATCTTAGCTTTGAACTTGTACAAATTTAACTCCTTTATGAGCTGGTTATGACTTTCTTGCCTTATTTTGACCAAACCCTGCATAGAAGCACAATAAGTCAATTTTCGGGAATACTTTCACACATTTTTAATCCAAAACTTAAGCAAAAGAAAGCATAAGATAGGCTAGAATCTATAGTTATCAATAACCACCTAGTACGAATTTGTACTAATTTGTACAAATATATTCCGAAATTTACGCCATGATCTTGAGGACGTGGCGGGAATCTTGTCCTTCTGTAACAAAATCATAAAGGCACTGTCTCGGAGTCGGTCGTACTTGGCTCCGATGTTCCTCGAGATCTTAGGTCTTCTAGCCTCTTATTCTACCTTTGAGTCCTAGCTTGATCTATATCGAGCTTTTGCCCTCGACGTGATTTCTCGAGCCTACAAAATTGGAGGTATATAATTTTGACCGTATACAGATAGTCCCCGCGTTTCTTAGA